ATCTACGCTTATCATTATCACAGTCTCAAAGGGACTCGGCACTATTACGGCAATGGCAACGTAAAAGTAGCCATGACCACATTGACATGTCAATGCTCGCCTTCTGGCGCTTTCTCTCGAGTACCTTAATCTTGAGTTAGTGGTATTGGTACTAGATAGCTCCATGCCCGCTAAGAGCAGCTTCTATTCTACAGCTAAGCCCTGCACAACTGGACATCATTGGGCATCTTTTAGCCCGGAGTAATGAAAATACTACCGATGTCACTTTCGAGTTGCATGACAGAGGGTTTGGCCCTGGGTAGGGGGTCCCAATGTAAGTATGTACCGAGCGCTTACAATTGACTGCAAATGAGTACATCAAACGCTCGACAGTAATAAATACGGTCAAAAAATTGGAAAACTGCTTTCTACTGAGCCATATTTCGATATCTTTCTATCGAATGTCGTATACTGCATAACGCGCAGGGATTCTTTGCGTCGCATTCCGCGCAACAAAAATGAAAAGGCCAAACTCAAAAAGCTTAAAAGGACTTCACAGCACCAGGCCCCAGCTGCTGCGCATAGCAAAATGGGCATTGTAACGTATCCTGCTGCGCAAAATGGGGTTCGATTCAGCGAGTAGCCTTTGAACATCAAGGTGCTGTCGACTGGTGCATTTGTTCCTTTTTGTGAGCATGTGCTGATTCAACCATCCACGTCGGATTGCCGTTTCGGGAATCTCCGCATGACTTCGCACATGTCGTTGATAAATCCGACTTTGAGTGTGAAAGAAACCCCAAAGAGGAATAAACTGGGGATGTCATCAGATGCTACACTATGGAATGCCTGTTTACAAACTTGCCGCGCTTTGTGCCCGTACTCGTACCGGAAGCGTATTCAGGCTCACCTGCGAACCCGATTCTTTCGGCGCTCCTCAAGTCGGGCTAAATGTTCTGTGTAGCATGTTCGCCTTGGCTTCAAAGCCGTTGACTGAATCCATTCAACCAATATGACGTGTATGTATGTAGGTCTCTGCCGAGATTTGTCATGTACGACAGGCGGTCTGTTGAATGCAGACCAGAAGGAAACGATGCGGAAAACTCAATCGACCATCTCAGTATTTGGCACGTATAAAACATGATCAGTACCCTGCGTCTTTTGAGAAGATTTCGAGGGTAGACAGCAATCTAGAGTAAGGACTCAAACTCAAATGACGGTTCAGGATCAGCTATCAGGGGCAATGACGCCAGATGCCGGCTCAAGCCCAGAAGGTACATCTGCCTGGACTCGGGGGCTGGACCTCGCTACATAAGTACCTTCAGACCGTTAGCTTATAGAAATTACAGGCCATTTACAAGATTCGGGAGACGAGGAATTGGCCTAACCCGAGGGTGGTTGGTTTAACTTGTGTATCTCGAGGCCCGAAGACAAGAAGGAATCGAAAACAGGAATACAGCCTTCAAAGTCTTGTAAGATAAATGTACGCCCGTTACTTGCAGTATCAATCCTTTGCACTCCATTGTCTAAAACAACCCCATGTCCTTGATATCTTCCTTGCTTTCATGGATAGAGAATAAACCCTGGGGATGCCTTCGCCATTTCACCAATTATGTTGAAGTCTATCCAAATCAATGCTCCGATTTGACAGAGGAGTAACAAGACTGCGGTGGGTTGGATCGACTAGGCAAAACATGAGATGTAGGATGACCTGTTGAGGACCAAAGTGCAGTAAAACCGTGTCATGTCAAATGCAACAGTTTTGCAAACGCAGACAGGCGAAGTGAAGACTCGTGGAAACGAATGGAAGCTGTCGAGTCCTTTGTTGATCCGCTATCAAGACTCAATTTTAGGAGTGCGTTCTTCAAAAGTGCCTCGCGCGATATAGATTTTGGACGTCTATCACCCCCGGTCAGGTTGCTGTGTTGCTTTGAACCATGCAAAGCTATCAAAGGGCATGAGACAGTCATATTCGTACGATTACGGGAGAACTTTCTCTTGTGGTGGACTGCAAAGTGCAGCACGTAGTATTGCTGTTGCTTTTTATTCACGGGTGCATGTACCCTGGTGACTTATTTACATTTGCCCTGATATTAGACGCCATTATTCGTAGATCATTTTCTGTCGTTACGACTCTACTCCGACTTGCCACCAAAACCCTTGCCGCCGTCGCGACCAGGACCGCTGGCCACGCGCAGGACGTAGGCACCGCGTTCAAACGTGTTGACGACAATGTAGCCAGAAGGGAACTGGAAGTTGCCCCAGGTGCCAACGAACTCGAGCGAACCACCAGCGGCGTCATCCTCGGGGTGCATGTCGAAGAAGGCGAGCTTCTCGACCTTGCTGCCGTCGGGGTGCGTGGAGATGGAGCTGACATCGGTGACCCAGACACCGGCGCCGTAGTTTGACTGGAACATGATGCCGTCCTCGATATAGAGGTTGTGGTCAATACCAACGTGATCGGTGTTCTTGAAGAAGCCGGTGTACTTGGGGTTGCGGAGGTCACTTAGGTCGGCAATGTGGGTGATGGGAATGCCGTCGGCAGCCTCACCGACGCCCTCGAACTCGTCGAGCTCGTCGTTGAAGAGCACAAACTGGTGCCAGTTGCGCTCCGTCCACCAACCCTGGTGGGTGTAGGTGGCGCCAGGGTACGCCAAGCGGCCAAGCATTTCCGAGTTGGCCTTGTCGGTCGAGTCCCAGATGGTGACGCTGTCCTCGTTGTAGGCGACGCAAATGTTGCGGCCCTTGAAGCGAGTGTCGGGGCCGTTGTAGGTCACGCACTGAGCGTCGTGAGTGTAGCCGTCAGAGCTGGCGCAACCGGGCTTGGTCGGGTTGGCGGGGTCGGAAAGATCGATGTACTCTAGACCAGCCGCACAGGTCTGGTTACGAGGCTGGGCACCGACGGCGATGGCATACTCGTTGTCCCAGTCGATGACAACGTTGTGAGCACGACCGATGGGGAGGTCGTCGAACAGACCGACAAGGTCGGTCTTAGGGTCAAACTTGATGGGCTTTGCCGGGTCGATGGCAGCGACCTTCTTAAGGTCAAAGATCTGGATGTTGTGGCCAACCGCCTCAGAGCCAATGATGGCGAAGTCCTTCAGCACACGGATCTCGCGCCACGAGGAGCCGATAGGGTCCTGCGAGGGCAGACGGCCGAGGTAGGTCAGCTTTCCCTTGTCAGAGACCTCGACAAAAGCAGTGCCGGTGTGTTGGCCGATGAGGGCAATCTGGCGGCCGTCGGGGGCAACCCAGCCCCAAATGGAGGAACCACGTCGGTTGGGGAACCTCGGGTCGGCCTCGCCACCGCCCATATCGTTGTGGTTGAGGAAGTCGTACAGGTCCATCTACTGTATGTTAGCTTAAGTCATTGCCAGAGGCAATGGGCCCCTCAAGTTAAGGAAAAGAAAAAAGTAAGACAACTCACGTTCTTGCAGCGGAACGTCTGCATAGGGTTGCCCTTCTCAGCGACAGCGGTGCCACACTTGCCGCACGCAAGCTTGTCCTCCTTGATCTTGGGGTCGAGCTTGTCCCAGGTTGCCCATGAAGGCCACTGGCTGGAGTTGAGAGCGCCAGCAGCTTCAAGAGCGTCCCATTGAGACTGGAAGGATATTAGTCGTCGTGCCACAAGACAATTCGGGGCAGTTGGAAGGCGTGACTTGCGTTCTTGAGATCCATGATCCTCTGGTGAACCTCTCCGGAATCATACTGATCCTTGCGGAAGTGGGCGGCGCTCGCCACCGCGGGCAGTAGCATCAAAGCAGACGTGACCTTCATCTTGGGCAGCTCGATTGAGAAGAATAGAGGATAAAGCAGTGGTGCAGAGCGTACCTGCGCAGCATTGCACGCTGTTGCTGGGTGGTTTTATATCATGTTGCACTGCAGTGCCCTTGTCGCCAAGCAAAAACTCGACTGCCGGATTCAGTAGGTGATCAGCAAGGGACTTCGAGAACGTGAGATCGAAATTAAGAATGCCACCTTCCGTATTCGCCGTAGCGACGGGCCAAGACTGCTTACCCCGCGCATAGCCAAGACTCTTAAGATGACCCAAGATGACCGACTTTGTTATCTCGCCATTGGGTTTCCTATTCGAGATATGATGTTCCGTCCAAGACATGCGGCCATCAAGGCGGCAGTGCAATCTAGCCAATGCCGGAATCGAAGCTGCGAGCGGCGGCAACACCCCTGCAGAATACCTTATTTTGCAGGTGTTTATTCGGCGGAGCCCATTCAACCGGTACCCACGTGCTGTTGCTCCATCGCAGTCGACGCGATTGCGACAGCAAGGTGCCCAACTCATGTAGTGCACTCGTAAGTGGTGGCAACGAAGCCCCGATGCCGTTAGACGGGGAGGGCCTTGTCAACAGTCCCCGCACAGCTCAGTCAATTTGCCCAATTGCAGAAGCTCGTTCATGCCCCTGACACAAACGGTCAGTCTCGACGACCAGGAGGTGCCTTGCCTTGCTCAATTGATTGGGATGGGTGACGCTGACATGTCATTGATACTGTTCTTCGGGCTCGGGCCGGCCTCAGTAAAATGTTGCAATCATGTAGCTGTTTCCAGGAAGCTGGCACGCCTCATGCCGGTTTCCCAAAAGCACCGCTATCTCTGTACATGTTCTCATCTTGCATACCCTCTGAGCGCTCTGTATCTTTTCGACGAAGAACAAAAGAAATCATTCTTCGACAGGTCACGGTACTTACAGAATTTGGTAACATCCTATGATTTTGTGAGGTGGGACGTTCTCTGAAACATTGACGGGGGTACAGACAGTGGGATAGAAAGGCTACCGCTTCAATATTCTATAGTTTGAGTATTGGTGGCTGAGCATTGAAGGGCGAAATAGCATGTCGATGGCATTTAGATGTCAGCCAGCAGCGCAAGATGGCATTTGCGCGAAACAGCCGACCCAACGATGAGCCCTTTCTTTCCAAATTCAAATTTCTTTTGACTGAGTGGTGACAGGCTTCCACGGAAGCTGTTCCGTTTTGCTCAGTGTAGCCCGATGATTGCAATACTGTTATCAGATTGCTAGCTGACCTCGGCGAACTGTCATTATTGCCTCACGAGCAACACTTTGGTCGTCTGCAAAGCTCAGGATCGATTCAACCTCGTCAAAACCGGCCCAGATCGTGTCGAAATCCTCATGTCCCTCCTGAGTGCCTTCATCTCGAACGGCTGTGCTATCTGCGCTAGCAACGTACCAGAATATGATCTTCAGAATTCCTTCATTGACTCGCTGAGTGACCGCGATGGGCTCGGTGACGGCTCTGGAGTTGTTGTCGCTCCCCATGGACGAGGGCAGGGTAGCCATGGTCTCGATCTCGACAGGCAAAAGTTGAACGGGTATCCCAGTTTCCTCGTATGTTTCTCGCGTCGCAGTCTTCTCAAGGGTCTCGCCCTGGTCTTTGCGTCCCTTGGGGAGAAAATATTCGCCGGTCTTCCGCCAGCGGATGAGCAACACCTTCGCTCTGGCGACATCTACCGAGACGGTGCCGCAACTGATCGCGAATTCATTCGCAAAGCAGAGAGCTCGAGATAGTCCTGCAACCATGATTCGAGAAGCAGCTTCTTGCGAGGTGTGTTCTTTGTTCTGAGGACACGAATCTCTACGAATGTCGCTGGTTGACATGGCTGACCAACGGGCGGCGTCGAAGTGGGTGGAACAATTTCATAAATGCTACCCGATTCGTTCGGATCCTTGACATTCTATTTTGATTACATCATTCTCTCATGTCTTTCACTCTGCGTTCGTTGTAGATCGTTTGCCCTCTTCCGGTGGTTGATTCGAAACAAGATGAGCGTCCTCACGGCATGACTTCCTGGATACGTGGGGTTTCATTCAGACACGAAGTCCAGCACCGAAGAGAGTACTGTTGTCAAAATTCAACTTTGGCATTCATAACAATCACAGCGAAGAAGCTCAGCCACTCATCAGGGTGACACTGCAAACCGCTGTAGATCATCATGCATTTAAACGGTTCATGTAAGAAATGAGGCATCCATCACCTGCTGCCCCACCTGCCGGATCTGATCTTCAGGACGTCGTCTGTCGAAGCTCCGGCAAGCTCAAGCTTCCTGATTCCCCACTCGAAACGACCACTGCTTTCCGATAACGTTCTGCTCGCCAACCCCGGCAACAGTGCATCGCAACGACGCTGATTGAGGACCTCGGCACGATAAGGGATCAAAAGTCGAGTCCGGTTACAAAGCAGTGACCAAAGCACACCCGGCCGCGCTTGAGCTAAGCCACTTCTTCCTCCACCATCGCGCCAGCTTTCCAAGTGGCCCCGATGCCCAAAGCCGCCGCCATGGACCCCGCGATACCCTCGGACAGCGCTGTCGTGCCGCCTCTCCGGTCAGACGAGCCTCCGAGTCCAGAATCCGAAGACGCCCTCATGATGCAAGCCATGGGCTTCGCTGCCTTCGGTGGCGACGGCAGTCACCCTTCCAAGCGCCGCCGCTACAACCCTCGGACAGACAATGCCGTCGTCGGCGGTCCCGAGTTTGATGCTCCGACCGGCGCGAACGCCACGGCCGTCGCAGAGCGACAACAAGACGGGCTGAATGAAGACGAGATTAGCCTTGACGAAGACGACGATGAAGGGGCGCCGCTGGACCTGGGTGATGCACCTGCCCTCGCGGGAGCGCAGGCACAAATCGAAGAGATGCTGGCACAGGAGGGCGGCAGTCACGCGACGTTACCAAGCCGACCAAATCCGACGTGGGGCTTACCGGGTGGCCGAGGTGGGCGGGGACAAGGTAGGCGGGGAGGGCATCAGCAACAGGAAGACCGGGCAGAACCGGCAAACCCATGGTGGGATGGATACTACGACGCCTGGTCAAACGAGAACCCATGGAAAGCCCTGGAGGAGAAGGCCGGGCTCGCCTCAAAGGGCACATGGATCGCGAGAGGTGTCAAGAACGCCACAGTCTGAGCCACCTTCATCGATACACAGGAGGACAAAACAGCGCCGGGGGAAAGCAAACGTGCCACAGATCTTCTCAGAGCACGCAGAAACTCTTCACCAACCTCACAATATCACGTGATCAACAAAGACGTGCTGTCAATATTCAGCCACTTGACAAGCGTCAAGCTCATCACATGACACCAACCGTCTTCCAGACGTCCAAGGAAACCATGAACGGTACCAGCTGCACCAGGGCACGATCTGCGAGACAAGATCTGATGTTACCACGGGAAAGCGCAGATGGAGACACAACATGTCACAGCCCGGCCAACAGCAAGCAGCCCAGGGAAGGGACTTGCCTCAACCGAAACAGAAAACAACGCCGAACTTGATTACTGATACGACTGAGGAAACACGATGAGAACCGCCCATGCAGTCCCCAGTCCACCCTAACGTCCAGTTGATACGATAACCCCTCATGCGACGGTTAGGAGACCACTACTGTTCCCTGTCCGCGGACACATCATGCAGGCCTTGACCGTCACGACATAACTCATACCCTGGAGGAGCACTATCATACCCTGACGGCCGCCCAATGGAGTCAAGTCGTCAGAGATGTACCGTGTCTCTGCCCACTGCCTCTTCCCCCCTCGACTCGGTCACTCTGTCGTCTGGTCCTGTCAACCCAGGTTCGGGGACTCACCCGCTCTCGCTGACCCACCACCATACATGGAGGGAGGCGTCTTTTTAGCAGACTGATCCGTCAATATCATCCTTCATCCAATCATAATTCATAACCGCGTTCCGACGAAAACAAAGCCAGCCCTCCGCTCGGAAGATGCACACGCCCATCCAGCCCGCTTCAGCCCGGTCACTACATGATGACCCCCTCCCTTCTACGATACCCACCCCCCCCTCCCAACTCCGTGCCGCCTTTTCTCTCCCCTGCGCAAGTCAGGGGCTCTGCAGCACCTGTTCTCTCCCCTCCAATTCGTGTGTGGGGAGGCCCAGCTAGCCGCTGCCACGCCCCCCAACAGGGCTGGCGAGGGAAACAAGGAGGGGTTGAGCCGTAAAAGCAGCGTGAGTTCGGGCGGCTATGCAGGTTGCGGACGCGGTCCGCTGCGCGTCATCTCACACATGCACACCCGCACTGACAGGCTCACACACACACACACACCACAGACCCCTTCCAACCCGCTTTTCCTGTCAACGTCGTCCCGCTCTGCTGGGAACGTCGACTGCTGTGACTGTCTTGGCTTGCTTTTGAACCGTTGAACTCCCGCCCCCACCTCCTCCAGCCGAGTGAGGGGGGGCGGGCTGTAAAGAAATGACCGCAAGCGCGATTTGTCAAAATAAGTCGTAGAAATTAGGAACCAAGTGTGGCATCCCCACTCGAGGTTCCTGCAAAAAGGGCCGCAGATCGCTCGCTTTCGCGAATGGCATGTAACATTCGACAAGGGTAGTAGAAAGAAGGAACAACACGCTAGAAAATCAGTGATCCGAGTTGCTGGGAATGCGGCTCTGCCGCGGGGTTCGACATCAGTCGACCCCAGGATCCCTGCCTGCTCGCCGTGAACGCTCGGACCAGAATGGAGGAGTCTAGTAAGCGTCGGGCGAGGGATACCTCGCGCGCGCCTTGCTGTACTCCTTGGTGTGCTTTCGTGAGGCCTTGGACTTAAGAGACCTGAAGAATTGCAGATGTCAGTCGGAATTGCTCGATCTACCAAAATCCATCGTGCCAATCGTCGGATCTCCAGATCTGACGCCGATCTGAATTTTCCCAACGATCGGTTCGGGACGTTGGAGAAAAAGGGGCAGGCAACGTACGAAACTTTCTTCTGCGTCCACTCAAGGTCGTTGCGCACGTCCTGGGCGTCGCGGTAGCCCTCGTTGAAGCGCTCGCGCGTCTTTGCCAGGCGAGCCTGCGCCTTGGCCTGCAGGTCGAGGAGCTCGCGGTGCTTGGCATTGAGCTTTCCAGATCTGGTTCGCGTCAGATTTAATTCCTCTTGGCATTGTAGACGTCTTGAGAGAAGATGAGGGGTAAAAACTCACGTCTGTGCCTGGATGGCAATGTTGCGGTCAAGAGGAATGGGGTCAAAGGACTGCGCGAAGCGATCCTGCATGTACTCATTGAAGTCGACGCCCGAGGCGGAGTGAACGGTGTCAAAGTCGCCGCTGTTGCTGCCGGCGTAGCTCGAGTTGGCGACAGAGTAGCCACTGGGCTGGCTGTAGGAGTGACCGGTGCCAGAGCTGACGGACTCGTCGGCTTCAGGGGGCGAGACGGAGTAGGTGTTGTGGTAGTCGTAGTCCTGGCCCTTGGAGGAGATGGGCATGGGGATGGAGTAGGAATAGGAGTGGGTGTAGTGTGTCGACATGGTGGGTGGTGGGTTGTGGGGGTGTTTGGTAGGGGGTAATGGCAAGGTATGGTCTTGGACTGGTGGGTGCTAGGTTGTGAACGAGGTATTGGTGAGAGAAGTTGGGTATGATGTTGGGAAGTTGAGAAGGTAATGTTTTACGAGTATGGCTTGAGTAGGATGTCCTGAGAAGGTGATAAGGAAGGAAGAAGGAAGAGGTCATTCAAACCACCTCAAGTTCTCGCCTTTTATAGTTTTTCAGGGCCCCTTCCTCGGCCATGCTTTCGAGTCCTGGGGATAACTCGTCATGCTCGATTCGTCTAATCACTTTACCCATCCTCTCCCGACACTGACCCCGCTCGAGAGAGCCCGCCATGATGTGATGGCTTGTACCAACGGACGGACAACGGGCGCGAGGGAAAGGCCGGCGACGGGCGAAGCGCCGTTGATGGTTGGCTTCGGGAGATGCCAGTGACCTTGGACGTATGTGGGCAGGAGAGGGGTTGGAAGCGGGATCCCTGCCCTTAGTGGTATTTCTTCCTTAGTCGACATGCCTGGAGGGGGCGTGGAGGTCCAAACGGAAATGCAGAAGAAACACCATGAAGGGATCGTGATGGAGGGGTGACTGGTGGGGCAGCCAACGACAACGGGGGGAGGGGCAACAGAGACGGGCTAAAGCATGGGCAGGGGGTGGAACAGAACTGGATGGCTCAGGTGGGAGACTGGCTCTTCTCTCTCCCCCTTTCCGCGGGATATCACGAGCAAGAGGTTCTGCATATGCCGAGAGGCGAATGTCATGGTTGGCATTGGCCGAGGAGGTCCACGATGGAGTGGAGGTGTGGTCCAGGAGGGGCAGGAGATCTGTCTGGACCGGTTCATCACATTGAGAAAGACACAAACGAGAGGGGCCGAGCAGACAGATACACACGGAAGACGGGTAGGGGTCAGAAAAGACTCGGTCTAAAGCAAAGAAAGGTAGTGTGTGAAAGTGGGCTCGCCTGGCGTTGTGAAAAGCGGCAAGGGTGACGATGGGAGGTTGATACTGACAAGGTGCGTCGTTGGGAAAAGTGAGGTAAGGGAAGAGGTAAGGTAGGGTAGGGTGCCTGTAAGACAGCGCCGCACGGCATGTTACCACAGCAAGGCATAGCATGGCATGGCATAGCATGGCATGACATGACACGACAAGGGGCTCTGTGGACGAAGGGAACGGGCCCCGGAGTGAGCGTATAAGTGGCTTCGCTCTGAAGCGAGACGTTCGTGCTTCACGCCGAGCCAAGGCAAAGCTAGGAAAGGTTCGCGAAGTGGTTGAGAGCGAGTGGCGTCAGAACAGGCGTGGTGGGTGGGCGGATGAGCAAGAGCAAGAGAAAGAGACAGTTGAACAAGGTACCCGGAGATGACATCCGTCTTTCGGCTCTAGGCACCGGCAGAAAGAGGATGCTGACCGTCAAGGATTCTGGCTCATATGTACCGTTGCACCGAGCTGCCATGCCGGTTCGAGAGGGTATGACGGCAAAGGGGATACATTAATGCATGTTCCTCCACATTGACTGCCCAGGCACTACCGTATCCGCCGGCCAGGCGGCGAAGTATACCGTAGCTTTGAGTGCGTTTTGTGTGCCGGGGGTGCCTCTAAGAGCAGGCGAGGACCGAGTACGGTAGGGATGAAGGAACGTGGTAGAAGTAAGAGGGCCAGGGGGCCGGCAGAGGGGGGGTGTTTTGTGGATCGAAGAATACCCATTCGTCCCATGAGCAACGAGCAGCGAGCGAGCGTTCGTCTAGACTGTCTTCTTTTTTTTTTGGAGTGCGGACGGCCGTCGGTCCATCAAGCGCGCTGACGCTAGAGGGTGGAGGGAGGGCAGACAAGCTGAGCGATGGGCGCAAAAGCAGCGGCGGATTTTCTTGGTGCGGACAGATCGGATCTCCTCCGTTGGTCTGCGGACGGCGGGGGGGGGTATGACGGTTGTCCAACGTTGGATGCTTGTGGATATGCTGTTGACTAGAGAAGTTCAATGGTCAATGGACGAGTTGAAGCCAGTTTGGCCACATGAGGTCAGGTCCCAAAGGGTATGCAAGGTCAGGCAGAGGTGCAGCGTCGGGCATTTCCAGGTGCTGATGCGTTGTCAAGACAGAAGCCAGAGCTGGAGCTGGAGCACCCGCCTACTTACTTACTTCTACCTATCATGGTGCGGTACTGCCTATCATGGGTGAGGTACTGACTACCCTGTGAGGTACTGACTACCACGTGAGGGACTGGCTACCCTGTGAGGTACTGACTACCATATGAGGTAGTAGGCTGGGTATCTGAAGGAGAGGTATGAAAGTGGGAGGGGAGAGAGTGGGATGGAATACCGACCTACCTCTACCTGAGTAGAACCTACCTGCCAGGTAGGTGCAGGTAAGGTGCCCAAGGAAGGGCCCCAACAGCAACGGTCACTAGCAGTTCATCTGTCGTTCTGCGAGGGGGGCGATTTTGGGCGAATCAAGTCGGCTCAGATGTGTGCAATAGTGGGGGCGCGCAAGCAGGTCTCGGAATTTCAAAAAAGATGATTGGACAGGGGCGATATCGGCTCGGGCTGGGAGCTTCAGGGGTGACTTTCATTGGCCATTAATCGGCGGGCCTTGATTTACGGTACCTTATCCCCCTCTTTAGACACTAAATACCTGACTTGATGGCGCGGGCTCATCTTGCCCGGCTTCCAACTTCTTCCAACGCTTGTCTGCCTACCTCTGCGACTCGATCGGCATCGTCATCATCGTTATCGTCGTGGAATGCAAGCATTGACCGCAATGGATCACAAAGAGACCACTCCTTCTGGCGACATGCGATGAGGCCCGTCATGGCCAAACGCGTCCAGCCTGTGGCCCGCCAGCATCGCCCCTCCACACAGCATCGAGCCAGCCCAGCCCAGCCCAGCGTCGTGGTGGTGTGGGTGTAAGTGCAGCAGCGCAGCATGAGCTGCATATGGGCCTGGAGGCAGCCCAGCCCAAGGGGCCCGAGAAGCCCAAAAGACTCAAGACCGCGCCCAAAGATACCCAATCCCAGACGGCCCTACCTGCGATCTCTGTCTCGCCGCCCCTCTCCCGTTCTCTTGCTCTCGCCCCCTCCACTGACGAAGCCGTACTTACACTTCCAATTCCGTTCCACAGACACCGCACCACTGGGCTCTCTGCGTCCAACAAGACGCCCTGTCCGTTCGTCAGCCACAGGCCAGCATGACGGGCTGCCCTGCCTAGCGTGTCGAATTCTTATTCTCTTCTCTCGCCCGCCCCCTTCCGAGGTCCTGCGTTCCAGGGCTCAGGAGTTTTGGGTCGTTGGCTTGTCGTCCTGATGACGAAAGCTGTATGCGAACGGAGGCGTGACCGTCTTCAATGACACGGCAGCTCGCCTGCTCCTGTCCCACAATCGCAGGGCCCTTGGCGAGTAACAGGGACATCCCGGGCTCGCTAGACCGTTGCCATCTCGACTTGTGGCCGTGTTCAACGAATCACGCGTACCCGTCATCCTGGGTCCGATGGTCATTCTTTGATCGGAGGCTTGAAAAAAGACGAGCGAGCGGGGATTCCAGAGGAGGGGAGGGGTGGACGGGGGTGGAGCGGCATGTGGCCGTCTATGCCCCTCCACTCTCGAACGTCGTCAACGAGCAACGACTAGGAACTCGCTTTTTTTTTGGTCTCCTTCTCGCTCCCTTTGCCCTTAGGCGCATTCGCTGCTGCCCGTCATCCTGCCTGCCCCTCTCTTCTTTCGTTCCAGTGGATGTCATGTGATGCCTGCCGTCAATGGAAAGTGTTCTTTCCGACCTCGCTTCAAGTCGGTGTGAGTGTGTGCAAACCATCCAATGGCACGAACCCATGCCACCTCTGGCAGACAATCTCTCTCTGACCTGGTCTCGCCCGGCAGATAGATAGATAGATAGATAGATAGATAGATAGAAAGACAGACAATTTGACAGACAACGGGCCTGCCCTCCTTTTTCCGTGCAACAGCGGGAAGAAAGATCGCATAGCTGCGGCCAGGACGGCCTCTCGGACGCAGCTCGGGACGCCCACGAAGGACAACGCATGCCCTACCGGCCCTTTCGACGTGCAGGACTGCCAGTCAGGGCCAGAGCCGGAGGCAACGAGTGTGGTCCCCGCGAGATGCAGGAGGGTAGGCCGACGAGGCAGGTAGTTTATGTAGATTGGGTCAATTGGGCCACGTCCTCACTGGAGGGATCAGGTCCCCCCCGAGACCGCATTGCCCATCATCTCTAGTGGATTCTTCCCTTTTTGGGACTCGGTGAGACCCGGCCATGTCATTGGAGTGATGGGACCTCGTGGATGCCGTCGTTGTTGGGAGATGGCTGTGCGCCAATCTGATGCCTCTGTGTTCGCGAGCCTCGCCATCAACCCCTGACGAAGCGTGTCCTACCGTTGAGAGAAGACCGAAGCAGCACATCAATACTCTGTTACCCACCCCACCCTTTTTGCAAAGGCCCGTCACGCATCGACAATCGTGACGAAGCAAGAAAAGGCCATGAGCATGTGAACGTCGGATAGCCGCCTTACATAACAGGAACGAGGAGGAAAGAAAAGGCCCCCTCTCCCCCCCCCGTCATCGTCTCACAAACAGGAAGCGGTCAGACTCGTGTGGACCAGCAACGCTGTGCCAGCGTGCATCATCAACGAATCCCAGTCTGTGTCCTCCGTCTGGAGGAGACCCTGGTCTCGTCTCGCCCAGTGGCCGCCCGTCCTGCCGCTGACGAACTGTCTTCAGCTCGGCACCGTGACGATTTTTTCTTTCGGTTGCCCCCGTTATCAAGTGCGTTCGCGGGCGCCTTCACATGGCGGCCAGCAGCCACCGGTAGTATCCCGCTCTTCCCGCTGCACGACATTCCATCAAACGTGAGGAGGATTGACGCTGCATTGTCATGCGCCGACAAGCTCTCCACAAGGATTTCGTATATGGTCGGGCAGGCTGGCAGAGGCCTTGCGGCAGGGGGGCATGTCTATCCCCACGATATATGCCTCGCCAGAAAAATTGACAGGACGATTATCAAAGGCCAGTCGTGATTGAGGGTGAAAGAATGATGCTCTCAGCACCGATTAGCTAAACTACCGAGGGGGTTTCCATGTATGTATATATCACAAGTTTCGTCGTCGTTCATCTACCCGTCCCATCCCTGATTTCCCATGGTACAACAAAGTTTCGTCTATCACAAACACGTGCCTTCTTCATACCGGGGGAGAAGACACCCCATCGCCCTGCCCCCACTTCCCCTTTCTGTTCATTGCCCAGCGCAGCGAGGAAAGGATCGCTCCCTCGAGCCAAAACACGGTAACGCCGGCGATGCAGAACGGCCTACTTCAGGCCGTTTATATGCTCCATCACCATGATGGCAGCTTGCCCGTCCCGGTTCAGTGTTCCCATGTTCACGTGGTTGCTAACCCCCTATCTTTCCGCCCCATGTCGTACTTGACGAGTGTTCCACACACACAGTCTAGCCGAACACCTTGAGGAAGCCCCAGATGCCGGCGGCGCTGAGCACGGGAATCGTAAGGTTGTCATCCCACCCAAAGACGTCGACGACCTCGCTGGCAGCGGCCACAAAGCCGCTCCACAGGCTGACGACGCCAAGGGCCAGCGGACCTGCCACGGTGGCCTGTTCGCTCGTGAGGCCGACGGCCTCGGCGGCAGCTTGCGGCAGGCGCAGGGAGCCCTGGAACATGAAGCCCTCGTCGCCGGGCTGGGGGCCGAAGAAGCGGACGAACCAGCCCCAGAAGAAGGCGGAGGAGCCGACGCCGACGAGGAAGGCGGCGAGCGAGCCGGCGAGGGACTTGCCGCGGCGGATGCGCGGCGTGTAGCGGCCCCAGAGACGGCCAAAGGTGCTGGCGGCCGTGTCGCACCAGCTCAGCAGCAGGACGGCCATGACGGCGACGTCCTTGGGGAAGGCGTAGCAGGCGAGCCAGGCGCCGAGCATGTACCAGATGACGCCATTGTAGCCGGCGTACTCGCTCTCGCGCATCAGGGCACCGAGGATGGAAACGTAGAAGCTGTTGAAGGCGGCGACATTGTGGCGCAGAATGTCGGTGGCGGCAATGGGGACGAGGAAGGTCATGAGCCAGGGGGCGACGGAGCGCGTGTGGACGCCCGTGATGTAGAGCCACAGGGTGACGGCGCCGATGGAGACGTGGAGGATCTTGCGAGGCACCTCGTGCTTGTGGACGAATGTCCGCCACTTTCGGTGAATGGGGATGAGGCCTAGGGGACTCGGGCTCCGGCTGAAATCGCGCCAGCTCCAGCCGGTAGGCGCTGCCGAGGGCACGGCGAGATGGCCGTTCGTCTGGGGCACCTTTGTCTTGGCCTTGCCGTTGCTGCTGCTGCTGCCGCTGCCACCGCTCGTGCCATCTTTGACAATAGGCTCGCTCGGTACGACGGGCGATTTCGTCTTGGCGGACAAGGACGATGACGTTGAGGTCAGAGGCTTGACGCGACGCATGTCGATGGGTGAGCGGCTTCGTGTGCGTGCTCTCCGCAGGCTGGGGTCCGAGTCGTCCTCCTCGTCAATGTTCTCGTTGACAGGTTGCGGGGTGGCCCGGCGTTTCCGGGCGGCGGAGCGCGTGGTCGGGCCGGCATAGCCATCTTGGGAGGAGAAGGGATCTGCTATTTCGGACGGGGTCGGACTCGGAGAGATGACGCGGGGCGTGGCCGGCGTGGCGGCGTTCTTGCCTCGCGAGGCCATGTCGGAGGGGAATGGTGGTAGGGCGGAACAGTGGAGGGGACCGACGAGACAGGGTCGGAAGGAGAAGAAGCGAAAGGGCCAAAGGGCAGAGTGGAGATGTTTGTCCTTCCGCGAAGCACGCAGGGGGGCGGCGGTTGGAGGGCTGTCAAAATCGGAGGGGGGGTCGCGTTCGGGGCCAAACAGAAATGCGAAAAGGCGGTGGTGGCTCTTTTGGCTGCTGAAACCCAGGCAACTATGGCCTGTTTCGAGGGTAGAGTCGACGTGGGCTATCGGATCCAGCGTGATGGTTTCTGTCGTTGATGCAGCAGAGGTCGACTCCGCCGCATGTTGGTCCCTGCGGGTTGGTCGATGGAGAGGATGAGGACATGCGGCCTCGACGATGGGGGGTGCGTAGAGAGAGGCAGAGAGTATGGTGTGATGGGTTGGGAGGGCGCAGTCAGGATCGGAGCGGTCGGAGATGGGGGTTCGACGGAACGGCTGGCTTGGGGCAGTAAAAGACGGACGAGTCGGTTATCTTGATTTCTGCGCGAGGCTAAGGTAAGATTGTTTCTGTTCCTGCACAGCGCCAGCAGGCAGTGAGTACTAGGCACGGTTGGGTAAGGCAGGTAGGTGGTAGGAGAAGTGATAGGCCAGTCTGGTGGCAGGTGGCTGTCCACCAGAGGAATTTTTTCGGCGGCCGCCAGGTGCTGCACCGGCGCCAGTCCAGTGGCTTGGACGGTGAGTCTCCTGTGCACGCGACTGGGGGTCACTGGACCGGGGGGGTGGGCCACGACAGGACCACGGGTGCACACCAACGACAAGGAGCCTTGGGTCGCAATTTGGCCATCTAGTGACGTTTTGAGGAACGTTGTGGTTTTGCAGTCAAACTGTGCTGTGCCCGTCGGCCTGGGCGTAACGAGGCCATCTCTCCTCATGGTCCACGATCTCATTCGCAGCTGCTGTACACTCGACGGAGGCGCAGAGAGATGCGCAGAGACGTCAGATGCCCACTCCTCCCTCACCCATGACCAACCACGCAGACCCTCGTCATCAGGCAGCCAGCGCCCTGCTGACAGTCACGTGGTGTGGCCACTGCTGGTGCTTGATCTCTGATAAGATAACAATTTGAACATGCCAGATAAGATAACAGAAAAAAGTTCAAGATTCCAACCACCAATTGACCTCGACACCTGCGACGTGCTTGCCCCTCCTCCGAACTTCGAGGCCTTCATTGACCACGTCGCAGTCAACGCCTTGTCACGCGAGCTCACATCGTTGCGTTCCACGATGGCGCCCTCAGCGACGGTCACAGAGAAGAAGAAGGATCCCAGAGACTGGCGTGGTCTTACCCCTCCCCTGGCAGAGTCAGTGTCCCTCCATCAACTCTATCGCTTGTCTATGGCAGATGCCAGAAACTAACACGCAGTGTCCAGATGGGTCCTTGATTTCGTCGCAAGTCAGGGCTATCAGCGCATGACGCCTGTTCAGGCCGCCACTATTCCCCAGTTCCTCGGCAACAAGGACGTCGTCGTCGAAGCTGTCACCGGCAGCGGCAAGACCCTGGCATTTCTGCTCCCCATCGTGCAGAAGCTGCTCCGCCTCTCCGAACCCACCAAGCGTGGCCATGTCTTCGCCATTATCGTCTCGCCGACTCGCGAGCTCGCTCAGCAGATTTACAACGTTCTCATGGGCCTCATCGCCTTCCACACTGCCTCCTCGGAGATGCTTCCCTTCCTGAAGGAGGATGACAAGCGCCCCGACTCGGCCGTGCCCATCGCCGTGCCCCAGCTGCTCGTCGGAGGCACGACCACGACGCAGCAAGATCTCAGCTTCTTCGTGCGTCACTCTCCCAACATTCTCGTCTCCACGCCCGGCCGCCTCGTCGAGCTCCTCGCCTCGCCCCACGTCCACTGCAGCCAGTCCACCTTTGACATGCTCGTCCTCGACGAAGCCGATCGCATCCTCGACATGGGGTTCCGTCAGGACCTCCAGCGCATCCTCTCCCACCTCCCCAAGCAGCGCCGAACCGGTCTCTTCAGCGCCTCCGTCTCCGAGGCCGTCTCCCAGATCATCACTGTTGGCCTGCGCAACCCCGTCAAGATCGCTGTGCGCGTCAAGTCCCTCCGCGACGGCAACATCATCGAAGACCGCAAGATTCCCGCCTCTCTGCAAATGGCATACCTCCTCACGCCGGCCTCCCAGAAGATGCCGGCCCTCGCCCAGATCCTCGACAAGCTCAACCCGCGCCCCCAGCGCAGCATCATCTTCCTCTCCACCTGCGCCGCCGTCGACTACTTCCAGCACATCCTCCCCGACATGCTCCCCGCCGGCTTCTCACTTGTGCCCCTGCACGGCAAGCTGCCGCCCAAGGTGCGCGAAAAGTCCTTCAACCGCTTCCTCACGTCCGTCTCCCCTTCGGTCCTCCTCTGCACCGACCTCGCCGCTCGTGGCCTCGATATTCCCCAGGTCGACTTTGTCTGCCAAGTCGACCCGCCCTCAGATCCCAAGGTCTTCATCCACCGCGCCGGCCGCGCCGGCCGCGCCGGGCGCAAAGGCCTCGCCGTCGTTCTCCTCCACCCAGGCCGCGAGGAGGATTTTGTACCCTTCCTCGCCGTCCGCAAGACGCCCATCCACCCGCTGACGACTCCCGACGTGACCCTCGACCCGTCCGCCGCCGAGGCCGCGACGGCCCGCATCCGCGCCTTTCTCCGCGCCGACCGCGCCCACCACGACAAGGCGCAGCGCGCGTTCGTCAGCTGGGTACGCTCCTACGCCGCCCACCAGACGTCCTCCATCTTCCGCCTGCAGGACCTCGACTGGGCCGAGCTCGGCCGCGCCTGGGGCCTGCTGCGCCTGCCGTCCATGCCCGAGGTCAAGGCGTGGGACGGCGACAAGACGCTCGGCCTCGGCGAGATTGACTGGGACGCCTTCGCGTACAAGGACAAGGCGCGCGAGGCGCAGCGCAGGGAGGCCCTCGAGCTCGAGCGGAGCGGCGTCAAAAAGGCCGGCGACGACGACAGGAACAAGCGCAAGAGGCGGAACAACGAGGCCTGGAGCGACAAGCACGAAAAGGCCGAGGTGCGCGTCGAGAGGCGGGAGAAGCGGCTGAAGAAGAGGGACAAGGAGCGCGAGAGCAAGATGACCGAGGACGAGAAGATCGAGGCCAGGGAGCTGCAGGACCTCATCAAGGAGGTCAGGAGGAAGAATGGCGCCAAGGAGGCCAAGGAGGAGGAGTTTGGGGGGTTTGACGATTAGATTCAATGATACCACCAAGAGTCGTGAATTTCATGACTTTCGTTCATACACCATGTCCCCCCTTCGTTAGCTCGCTGACTACGTGACTATGCACTGCCACCAATACAGCTTTGGACAACCGCAGCATACGCAACCCAACGACGACCCAAAACATTTTGAATCGCCAAAAAATGCCAAAACAGAAATTCAGCCCTTGCAAGCCTATCATGTTCCGAACCAGGGAATCGAACCCTGAGCCTGACGGTGAGAGCGTCAAATGT